CAAATAAGGACTGAATGAGATGCAAATTAGATTTGAATGTTCGAGCGGATGGCACGGAGTTAAACGTTTCAAGTCCCTTATAGGTTTCTGRCTTAATACAATATATTCTTAGCTCGCAGAATATTAGTTGTCATGGATCTCCGGAGATACAATTTTATGCAGGCGTGTACTAAGGGTTTCCAATGAATATCTGTCCATCGTTATAGCTGCACATCTAATATGAGAAGTGATGAATGCTATATAAAATATTATGTCAGCATCAGAATTTCCAAGTCATAGGTAAAATTTCCTTTGGTGTTAGCTTTGATGATACCACCTTTTTCAACCAACATTTTTTTTTGTGATCGCAAAAATCCACATCATCCAAGCTAAGACCGAAAGGGATTCTGGGGACACATATTTACCGAAACATGTTACCTTACAAATAGAAAAGGCATTTTAAAAGACTGTTTGAAATTAAAACAATGTTATACAATAATAATATCTTCTTAGTYATTTACTTTCACAGGCTCCCTTTTGTCCTTAACTCTTAAAAGATGTAACCTCGATTCCGAATATTTCTTTAATGTACATTTAGTTAATAAAGTGAACAGTAATAACAGTGTGCATATATGAATTCATTCCACATCCATTTTCCCATGAAACACTTCTCTTGTAAGAGRCCGAACCAGACTGCACCAAATTAAAGAAGACAAAGCGTTCTGTACTAATTTCCATAACTTTATGAACAATTTCACGGTTTTAGTGAATGTACTGTGATACACTTAAAAGGACAATTTACAGTTTGGAAACCTTCAGCGTGCTGGTTTTCTTTAAAAGAGGGTATATCTGCTTAATATATGTACAGCAGCTGAATCTGAAATTTTCAAATTTTCGATTGAATTTTACTGCTTAAATAGCTATGGCATTGTTCAACATATATACTACAATTTTGATTAACTGAGCGGCAAGCTTGAGACAAAGAAATCTTCCAAATGGTAGTGCGGATATAACTAAATGACTAAATAATAAATTAAATTCATGTAGTCACGATGAAATGTTTTAGTCAAATTAGAGTATCCCATATCCTACTAAGTTTTCTTCGCAGTGTATATAATCTATGATCTACGTTTCGAAAGTGACAACTTTTCTTCAATTTCCTCTATACAAATTATGAMAAAATTGCTGGTTTTCAGTAAATCCCTCGAGCTTCAAGAAACTAAAGTTAGGCGGCCATGTTGGTGTCATGAGCAATAAATACATAAGAAATTCTATGTCATGAACCAYCAATATGGACGCCGTTTAACATCAACTTAAGGCAGTGTGTAGCGACGACAATTTGTAAAACAAACCACAACGACTATTACTTGCAGTTTTTTCCCGTCTACTAAAATAGTTCTCAAAACCTRTTTTTACTTTTCCCTTGAATTCTTTTTCTTTAATTTTCGCTGTAAGTTGATTTTTTTTCGCATTGATTTTTGATTCACGCACTACAGAGCAATTTAGTCATCAAAAGGTCTTTTTGTTTACTTAAATTCTCTTACGATTAACTCACAACTTATTCTGATAATAGTTCTGCCATTTTTGCACATAAAATGCAAAAACAAAAGCTTTTCTTGGGACTATTTCAACGGTCATAAAAGTGATCTCCCAAAATGATCTGCTGTTCAWAATTGCGTCGTTACACATTGTCTATTGATTYCATATTGCATAACACAAACTAAACTTTTGGAACTGAAGGTAGTGACCTCGCAGCATTAGGATTTTTCGTCTGTTTATTGATCCTTGAGCTGTGYCGGGTAGCMGTCTTTGYTGTAGCAGCCCTTTTGGAACCTTTCTTAGACTAAAAAATAAGAAATAAAAAAATAACAGCCCATGTGGCTTGGCGCTTGCTACGTGTATTTGGTTCGGCTGCGTGTGCTGTAGCCAGGACCAGTCTGAAAACAGATTAGTAAACGAGAAAGAGTTAGTAATTASAAAAACGTTAAATTTTATGTGAAAATCAGTTCGGTTTAACTAATATTAGACCTCTGAAGTTTTTACGTCATGTACCGTATAATCAATGCATTGTAGGACATGTTTTGGACAGAAACATGGCGGATTTCTTTTGTTTTCTCTAGAAACTGATCCCACAAGGCATTGCAAATCAAGTAGTGACGTAAAAGGTTCAGATTTCTATTTATAGCCAAAGGAATGGCCAGAAGTTTCTTGACAAAGAAATTCCTACGAAGAACATTACCTTCCCAACTAAATGAATATCACAATTCACCTGATGCAACTAATATTTTCAAGATGCATCAATTCAAAAGATTTCGTTTTTTCAAAGAAACTTGTCATTCGTTTTGGTTAAATTTTATGTTGTTTTATGTCGTTTATTTGCACCAGAAATASTCAGTATTAATTATCAGTTATTGAGGTATTATTAATTGACATTCAGGATTGTATGATTTATTGAAATGTTATTTTTGTTTTATGTCATTTTCACTCGCCATTTACACAATTCAAATGTGTTTATACAAACATTTAGTTTATATCTTGGAGAGAGGTCATAAAACMCGCGAAACAAAAGCTACTTGACTATTACATTGCGAATCGAAAAACCGTGGTCGCCTTGAAATATTTCGAGAATGTGTACTTGGAAAGTGACTTGAACTGACAAACAAGAAAACATGATGAAAAACATAAATGGACAAACTTTGTGTTTATTCTAAACATTGAAATCATACTATTTATGAGCTTTTACAGGCCGTTTTTGGTGGTAAACTAGTTTCATTTATTTGTAACGTTRAAGTTTTGATTACATTTGCACGTGAAAATGCACTTGATGTCGGTTAATCTCGCTTCTGATTGGTCAATGAACAWTAAACATTCCYGAAATATTTCTAGGCGGCCASGGTTTTTTGATTCGCGCACTGTWAAGTGTGGYAATGAAATCGACACAATAGAAAACAATGCCGTTAGTGCATACCGAGGTGTATTAGACGTGTAATGTCTATTTCACGGATGTTTTGCGACTTCACTCTATTACAAACATTATCATGATATTCACTTCTTTTACTATAACTAAACGAATGCACACAGCTCATTAGGTTTTTAGTGTTATTAGTTGGTGACTTACAATTTTACGTTTTGTCCTGGCAAATAACAAATAAATAGTGCAGTAAATGTTGACCATGCAAAATAAAAATAAATTGTTAACGCAAAATGTTTAAAAACAATAAGGTTACAAATGAGTGTTAGAAATGTAGAACGGGTATTCAATTTTATAATGAGTTAAAGACAAATGATCAAACACTGAGGCAGTTGTGTTTAGAACGAAAATTTAAGAAAGAATGTTAGGTTTACAAGACAGTATGTCTATGATTACATGAAGTTAGTTAGTACTAAAAAGTAAGAATTTGTAAGTAAGAATGATACGATGGAACCTCGTTAATCCGGCCATAGAAGGGACACCKTAAAATGCCCGTGTTAACGGGGGGTCGAATTAGCCAACCTAAAATCTTGGTCRTTATGACGGGGTGGCCATGTTAAGCGGGTGGATGTAAGAAGGGGGTCCKCTGTATTGAAGAGGAGTTTTGACCAAGGTGACTTATAGAGTGACGATTAGTAGCCAATCACAAAGAGGTATTCATTATAACAGTTCTTACGAAAGCAAGATATGTAAAATTAGAAGAAGTTTTATGCAGTATTTTTTTAGGTTGATTTGTATTCATCATGAGGAACCAAGGGATAGTTTAACGCTCATTCTTAGCTCCCAGAAATAATAAAAACTCAAACCGACTTCGTGCCCAGCGGTATTATTTATGTGAGGAAGAAACGAGTGAAAGAAGTTTATCCTTGGTTCGACGAGGAGGACTTGCAATAAGAAGTTACGAAAGCGTTGAAGATATAATATTGTAGTACTTACAGTATGGCTCCTTGGAAGAGTAGCAGACTGAAATGATAAGATGGAAAGAGCATCAATTATTGTATGAGAAAAAGGGTTAAGAACTTTCCTATTTCAAAACGAGTAAATTCAATTCCAAGTTATTTCAAAGATTTCAAGGAGCAGTAGCCTGCTGAACCAAAACTGACAATCATAAATGAGTAGCCACGAACATAAGAGGAGTATTGTCTACTCATATTTCCTGGTACAATTCAAAGAAAGTCAGAGTAAACTGTTATGTATACCATGTCTCCATGCGCTAAAGGTACCTCGTAATCCAGGGGTTCTTGTGATGAGTATGATTGACTTGACAATGGCTGAAAGAATAAAGAACCTTGATAAGTATCGAGTAATTGCAAGCTGACTGCTGATAGACTTTAAATAGCACAACTTTGCAATGTGCAACTGGAAAGTAACCTTGAAATAGCCACTGGAAAAAATCGCGCACTTTAAAGGTTGTAAATTTGATTTAAACATTATGTAAGTGTCCAAAATGATGTAAATTTGATGTAAATTGAACAAATTGAACGAATTTTTCCAGTGAGCCACGTACAATTTCACATTAATTTCTTAAGTTAAATCATAATTAATACGATTTAAYAACTATTGTTAAATGCAGTCTAATACTCGTTGCTATATATCTCTTTGACAATGACAAATAGAAATAAAATGACAGATATTTTCGCTTCACCTGTCCATTATRATCTTCATATAATCTTGAATAGTTTGAAGACCTCTGAAAAAAAATCAAAGGAAGAGGTTAGAGATACTAACGATGAGTAAAATGTGCAGTGTTGCCAAAACTGATACTCACGGCAAAAGATCTTGGCAGCGTTGCTGAGCTGTAATTTTTATCTTTCGTTTTTCGTGTTTTCTCTGTGATGTCTTCACTTAATTTAGTACTGAATATGAGAGAATTGTTCACGCTAAATACATTATAACTGTAGTACATTTACTTTTCAAGCCTCATACAGTCTGTAACCTTTTCTGTGCTCTCTATCATTMAGAGCATAGTAGCGAATTCCATTTCATATCACAAACTTTGTACACTTACAAAATATAAGCTACAATCTTTCGCAAAATAAGCGGGTCATYTATGACCCCACTCCCCTGTTCAATGWTATTGGGAGAGTTCTCTGTCTGTTTTGGGGTATTTTCGTCTTATTGCAGTCCAGTCCCCGAATCAACACTGAACATGGGAGAGGGGAAAAGAATGTAACAATTCGTTGTGTCCATTTTTTATGCGGGAGGTTGTAGCTGTTTCTTTGGGGCAAAAGGCATATGGTTGTAGACATGGTAGCATGTCTTGTTAGCTAACCCATTTCCATCTAAAGGCATAACAACAAGACAACAACATAAACAAAGCCAGTCAACTGAAAATATCTGTTGACAAAATTAGAAAATCTTTGAGMGCCTTGAACTGTCAAACGTGGTATTTGCACGATATTGTGTTATCCCTCTGAATCTGCYGTTCTCTTGCGGTCCTTTATAAAATTTTTGCATTTATATAACGCGCGCTCTGATTAGCTGACAACCGTGCTTATATCAGAGGACAGACACACGCGCGCCGGTTTATATTTCTTAAGCATAAGCGAACACTGACTACAATATTTGTAGTACCTCTCAGGATCTGGACTAACAGGTCTTTCATCTTCATCCTCCTCTTCTGTGATACCACCAGTTTCATTTATAGGGTTGTAGTCATTTTGTAATGATTCCATTCCACCATACCAAGACTTTGCTTTCCTCAAGCGATGTTCTCGTCCTTCTACTTGATCACTTCCATACTGACGTAATTTCTCCGCAAGGACACTTTGACCCTTCAAAGGAAAGWTTCTTTATTTTTCAGTATAAAAATGAACAGAGCCTCTTAATGGCTATTTACACTGTCGATTTGTGAGGCGTTTTTAACGCCCGATTGGCGTTAATCCAGGTTTAACTCAGCGCTAATCGAGCTTTGAACAACCCAGCCCAGGTTGAAMATTTGAATGATTTAAGGTGAGGACATCGACACTCTAGGCGCAAATACACTTGGAAGTTTTTCTTGTTTTTGTTTGGATTATTTTTAACAATGATCACTTTTCAATCCTAACTTGTCTTCTCTTGGTAGTAGAGTGCACGTCACATAAGCATGAAACAATTCTTAAGAGCAAGAGTCTGTAAAAATCGCCTAGACCTCGGAAATCTTCAAAAAAATCAAATCGCTCAAAATTCCGCAGTTTGTAGCTACACATGACCTCTCACTAATGGTGTATGTTTTGGCTCGATTGCATTATTATTTTTCGAGAAATATTTTTTTTT